CTCTCACTATCAGCAAATATGCTGATAATGTTACTTCAACAAAATGTAGCAAATTTGAAACCTGGGTTTACTAGAGTAGCACAGAACAAAATACTTGTTTTGAAAATAAAATATTTATGACACTGCTTTACTCTTCTTTTTAAGTTTTAATTACAGCATTCTTCAATTACAGTGCATTGGATATGGTATTAAAATAAATATTTCACATTATTTAATGCATGTTTAAAAATATAGTGGTTGAGTGATACCAATATTTTACTTTTACAGATCACTGACCAGAGTGCCTGTAGACAAGAAAATGAGAAAAGAAATAGAAGAAAATCAGAAGGTTTGTTTTTATTTCTGTAAGAGGACATTTTAGTTACTATCATATTACTGATTTTTGAGATTTTTATTAGTGTAGCAACATTCACGTGGTTTCTATCAGAGAAAAAAAGCTAATTGTTCTAAACATCTTTTACTAAATAAATAACATTGAAATACTCAGTTCAAATGTTTTACTTTCTGATGTTGGTGGTACCTTTTCCCTTCCCTCTTTTCATTTTACAGAATTAGGCAAGGACAGACAATTTTTATGGAGCGTTGCGTTGAGTCATAAATTGTGTGCTGTGAAAGCAGAATAGTTATCAGTTAATTTTTCTAGAGCTTTGGTGTTGAATCTAGGCCTGCTGCTTATATTATGGTAAGCACGTGCTAGCTTTGAGCTTTCTGTGCTTTCAGAATCATGCATGCAACTATTCTGCAAGGTATTTTGACCGTTGTCTAAGGTGGATGGTGGTTTTATTTTCATCCTTGATGCACTGCATCTTTTGTGCCTTGTAGCTTATGAGGAGTCATTTTTTATGTGATTTTGACTGATCCCAGATGTATCCCAAGATGCCACTTTGCGTTTGTCAGGTCATGACATCTGTTGTATTTTCTGTCTCAGAGCTTGGATTTTTTTTTTCTTTTTTCCCCAAGTTGAGTGTTAAAATTAACCGTTAGCCACCGTGCTTTTAGGACTGGTCAGTTGAAATGACATCCATAGCACTGCCCTTAATCTTGATCTTCAGAACATATATTTTCATGTGGTGTTAAGACTGACTAACCACTGTGGTGGAAGGCATTTATTTCTTGCTTATGGCGCTCCTGTACTTTTGCAACTTTTCCATGTATCATTTTGCTTTGTATCCATTCAGGCCTTTTCCTCTTGCCTTGCCAAGATTAGTGTCTCCAGGGGAATGCCTTTCCAGTTTCTTCCACCTTCCAAAACAGTAAAAGTGTACAATGTTCCTGTTGCACCGATGCAGCCTTCTCATAAAAAGCTGTCATCTCAGTTGTAGCAAAAATTTCACATAAATATGTTAGAGCTCTCCACCATGCAATACTAATGTAATGCTTTCCAGTCTTGGGTATTTCCTGCCCAAACAGCGACAGGCTCAAGTGTTACATCCTTGTAATGGTTATGCAAACCATTGTATAGGGCTTTTTTTGTCCATAGGTGATTGTGTGGGGGACTGGTGTATTGAGAATACATTTCACATATCCCAGCAGTTCAGCATCTTGAGCCCTTCCACTTGTGTGCAGGGTGCATGTTTGATTCTTGGGTTTTCACAGAGATCTCAGAGTGGGCTCAACATTATGCAGGTCTCTTTATGTCTTGCACTAGTGAGAAGTCCCATAGTTTTTGCTCAAGGGAGCAAATCTGTATCTGCACCCTGCTTCATTGCTTTCTGTATACAGCTGAGATGAGCATTTTCCTATGTCTCTGTTGTTAGGGTTATAGTCAGGATAAAGCAAAACAAAGCCCTGATTATCATAGTTTCTCCAAAGTATGAGTGTCGGTATCGGGACTTTCCTTGTTCCTTGATGAAGTCTTTACAATGTCTTTCTCAAATTGCAGCTCTGTTAACACAAAAATCAAAAAACACTGCTTAATCAAAAACTACTCCTCTACCCCAAAATGCAAAAAAAAGTAAAGGTATATCAGGAATTGAAATGTCTATTATTACTAAATACAAGGATTAGGAAAAGTAACTAAGATTTGGTTTGAAATGAAGATGTCTGCATTTAGGCGCATCTGTATGGTATCTAAACTCCTGTTATGACAATGAAGATGTAGTCAATGGACATGAAAAACAATTTAGCTCACTCAGTGGTTGTTTTGTGGGGCATGATTGAGTTGCCTAAACCTGAATTTCTGACGTCACTTAAGATGCTGCAGGCTACCCAAGATAGCCACACAGGTCTGACAGATGTGTCCACTGGGACATCCATGCCCTTCTGCCTGACCCATACTTTCCAGTCTAAGATGTCTTATCCTGAAACAAATGGCACTGGATATCTACATGGTTGGTCAGCTGAATCACTCCTATGATTCCATGACTGTATTAAATACATTAACTGTAAGAGGATCTTAGGTACCTCTCACACCAAGTTTAAATTTCATACTACATCCTACCTGTAGTCTAAAGGTTACAGACCTTTAGACAGCTAAAAGCTAAAATCTGTTGAATAAAAGTGGGGAAGCTTCCTGAACACTGCTGCTAGAGCACAATAAATTGTCATGTGCGTTCTTGAACTGCAGTACATCCATCTAGCAGCGGGAGAGATATGATCTCATGCTGTGTGTAACTGGATGATTCCCTCTCAAGATAATGAAGGTTGAATAGGAAATGCAATGGGAGGAAATAAAGGTATTAAAAGTTGAAAGGCATGTGATGATTTAGGTGTAATGAATTGATACCTAACTAAGAAACAGACGAAGAACTGCTATAGATGAAAGAAAAAATAAAATCTCATTAAATGCAACTCACAACTTCTAGTGCAATAGTTTGCTGACAGTTTAGCAAGAAAATACTATATGAGTATTATCAGTGTTAAATTCTAGTCTTGGATGCCTAAATACTCCTTCCATCAAAGTTGTTACAGCAAATGGTTGCTCTTCTGAACAATCAAATGCCTAGCATCAAAATTGTATAACAAGTCTCAGCTCTGATTCAGCTCAGTTCTTTTCCTACTGCAGTGCTGAAGGCTTCAAAAGACTTTTAGACTCCCATTTCAATACCCAATGGCTGATAATTTTTTCCTTGTTCTTGCATTCATTTTAGTGTTAGGATTTTTGTGACTCACATCAGCTAGTTGTGGTCTTTCTCAGTATCTGTGTTTACATGAGTATTTGGGCTTATAGGAATGACCAGTAAGCTTTCAGTAGTGGTAGGAAATCTCTTACCCTAAATGCTGATTTCAGTGCTTCAGGGAGAGGGCCTGTTCTAGCTGATCTCAAAAGATCTGCGCAAGAGCCCTGAAGGATGTTAGTAAGATTTCTTGAGACTGTAATCCTCTTTATATTTATTGTTTGCTCCTTGAGTCCAGTGGCATTAAGGGGGATTTTTCTGCGGTCACAGTACTTCGTGGCACAACGCTGGTATGAAAACTGTAATACAAGTTGGATTTGCTAACTACAGAAAAATTTCAGCTATATCTAGGACTTTGCGTGCTTCTCTACCTGGTGCAGAGGAGTCTCATCACTGTGTGCCTGGCTGTTTAATTTTGTCCTGACTGTCTGTTTTGGTTGTGTCTCAGGATCAAACTCTGTGTAGGTAAAATGATCAGAAATTTTGCCTGCTGCAAGGGCACTTGGTATCATCAGGCGTCTATGAATTTTGGCTGTGTAGAAGGGATGCGTAGAGTGAGACCTTGGGAGGGCATGTGATCCTATGTGAAGCTGTGGTAGGAAAACTGTAAATGTCAGACACCAGCCGCTACTTCTAGGTTTTGTTTTAATGGTTGTATGAGGTTTAACAAAGATGAATAAGAAGTCCTGTGCTTGAGCCAGAGTAATCCAAAGCAGCAGTTAGTTGTAAAGAAGATAGAAGCCCTTCCTCTCCTGTACCAAGTTTTGGGACATATAAAAAACTACCCCCATTTCTGTAATTTGTATGAGTATATGATTGGGAATAAAGTGAGTTTCATAAATTTGGAAAGTAATTAAATTACTTTCTTTTTTTCCTTATCTGACCACAGGAAACTTACTGCCATGCATTTATGCTCCTCATTTTTGAAAGGCCACTGACATCCATTTTTTAGGTGCCTACTAAAATTTTCATGAAAGACAATAACTAACTAAATGTAAAAAAAAAAAACCAAAAAACAAAAAAACTCTTTCTGGTTATTTCTTAGCATTAGTGGGATGCAGCCCCTCCCAAATCCACAATATTCTTCACGTTATGTCTGAGTTTGAATACATGTTTTCAGACACTTTATAAAAAGCATAAGTAATTATATTACTCTTTTGTAAACCCACATACAAAAAAGCAATGAAAACACTACAAAGTTTATGTTACACCATTAGAATAAATTAAATTTACAAATTTCAAAAGCTGTTTTTCAAGGTCAAGGACAGGTTTTGGACTTCCATAAAAATTCTTTTGCTGTTAGGCTCAGGGTTATCACAGTTGCATTTTTCCTTCATGGAGAGTCCTGCCTTTCATATGCTGGTATTAGGTGCCATTACATATTTCCATTCTGCTTTGGGTTGTGAAAATGTTTATATATACTAAGGAATATGGTACCTTTTCAATGAATGATAAGTAACATGCACATTTGTTGGGTTACAAGGAACTTCAAGTAAACTGTTTTCTCATTTATGTGGTTTTGCACTTGTAATGCCACAAACCTCTAAGCTTTGAGTTTACTTACATTTAACTGTGTGAAAGTAACCACACTACTTTAAAGAAATAATATCGCTTTCAATGTTTTCCCATTTTTTCTCTCATTTGTTCAGTGACACGCTTATAAGTGGAGTAATATACGCAGCCTGAGTTGCTTGCTCTAAGTGTGCTTTTGATCAAAGTGTATTTTTTGTTCACACTTATTTTCTTCAGCAAGTAGGAGCTAAATGGGAAAAAATATATCTTTCTCAGCTTGCTTTTTTTCTGCATATTTTTCGTGCTTTCCGTTCCTCTGTTGGGAATTAAGACAGATCTGGAAATCTGACTGCTCCTCATGGGGTGAGTTGGAATAAACTACTGCTGTTGCTCCTGTTACTTATCTTGCTACAGCCACCATAGATTGAACGGTGTGGTGCCTTGCAGCTCTCTGAAATAAAATAATAAGGCGTACTTTTACTCCCTAAATACTTCCTTCCTCTTGTATTCATATATTGTGGATTTTTTTCCTTCTTTGCAAAGCAGGGATATGCTATGCTATCCCTTTCTGATCTGTGTTTTTTCCAAGGTCTGTGTTAGATGAGATTATATGTTTCTAGTCTGTCTTTCCTAATTCCCCATAACAATTGCGATACACATGTTTTGGAATTGTGAAAGATGTTAAGCTGTTGAGAAAACTAGTTTCAAGTGGAGATCTGAAGGACACATATAAAGTCTCCCTTCGTTGAATGAATATGTAGGAGTAATTTTTCAAAAACTTACAAGCCGTATTTAAAAAAACTAAAAAGCCGTATTTCTGTACGTGTGTGTATTTTCACTTTCTGTTGGTAGACACTGAGAACGTGTCCTTGTCTCTGCCTTGGACAGGTAGGGACACTGTAGGTTGTTTGGGTAGGAATTATCAGCTATTTTAATTTGTATTTGTACATTGAAAGTGTGTTAAATAGCACTCATAAAAGTGTGTTGTCAATATTTTTACCAACAAAATTCAGCCAGAAGAAGAAATGATGTGGAAGAGATTTGATGTGTCTGTATTGCAGAATTACTTGAAGTTTTTTTTATACATATATATTTTTATATATTTATATATGTGTGTTAATGTTGACATATACGTAAATAAGTTAGCAGTACTTCTTACTTTTTAGCATTTTCATGAAACACTTGGAATCCTACCTGGAGAAGCACGTTTATTTCTAAATGGCCTTCATATTGACCTGGATTTTCATGATCCTTTTAGGTAAGATGGTACATTTTGTTTGAAGACTACAGAATTACTAATAATACTGGAGAAGTTGTACTCATGGTGATAGATAATCTCATCTGTTGCTTTTCGGGGGCCAGGAATTGCTGCAGTAGAGGGAATACTGGTTTACAGTGGTTTTGCTTTGAATATGAATTTTGTATAAGTAGCTGAAAACAGCATTTTCTCTTGGAGTGTTTTCTAATTTGCTTACAATTTTACAACTCCCCCTGTAAAATTAGTTTGGAAATGGAAAGGAATCCAACATGTATGTATAGAAAGGTGGGGAAAAGCACTTTATAAAAAGTAAATTAAGTGCTTTCACATCCCTGTTTCTTAAAAATTACAAAAAATTTGCAGGCATTAAATTTAGATACACAGCACCTTGGGTTATTTTTGGCATGCTTGTGAGTCTATGTCTGGCCACCTTTTATAATAAATTCTGTTAATGCAGAACTAATATGCTTTTGGTTTAAGAAATCTTTTTCCAGTTTGTGTAATTATAGTATAATTATTTTGGGTGTAACTTGCCTCTTTTATGCAAGCACTCATAAACTGTCAACATTTTCCCTTGCATTCTTCTGTATGTTGTCAACAGCAGGACAGACATGACTACTTCAAAATCATCTTTGGTGGCCTGCAAACTGTCATTAAATCTACTGATGCTAAGGCTGAGGGTTTTTTTCATGTTCCTATGATTTGTCAGAGTCTACAATTTTTTATTTTCTATTTCTTAACTCAGAATGTCTTCTTTTCTCCTCCATGGAGATTCTTAAACTTTTTTGGTTTTAGCATTTATACTTGCAGCTTTTACTTAATTTTTGCTCAGCCAGAGTTTTGAGATGGTGTAACTTGCACCTTTTCTGGTAATGATGCAAATATTAATAGGTCTTTTTAATGCTAGTGCTAGGTTTAATTTCAGTATATTTTAGAAGAAACCTTTCAGAATAGACAAAAATCTCAAAATTAAGCAAGACAGAAATAAAGGCATTTGCAAAATCTTGCCTGCTGTGTTCTACTAGTGAGTATTTCAGGCTTGTTTCCATTCTCATATTGAATTTTGAGATTGCAACAAATGTTCCAGAGTCCTGTTGGGTCTTTTGGGAAAGAGTCTTCTTTTGGAGGTGTAGCTATGTGTTTCCTATGTGCTGTTTTCAGGGTTCTGCCATGATGCAGACTTAGAGCTCGCCTGTGTCTCCATCACTTGCTGCGTGCTTCTTTACACACTTGCAAAGCTTCCTCTTAGGGTACCCCCTGCTTGGATTTCTGCCTCAGCCAGGACATTGCAGCACGCAACCTTCCACTCTGCTGTCCTGCCACATCTTACTAAAGATGGATGAAATTCCTTCATATAAAAGAAATGTAAATGAACGAAAGAGTTGTATAATCTGTTACAATACTGCTTTGAAATAAGTTGGAGATGTATAGTGTTATTAATTGGTTTTGTTTTAAACATTTGACTGCAGGGGAATATAAAAATTATATTTAATAGGAAAAATAATCCTCACATTAGTTGTCTTTTGAAATTTTTTTATTTCTTTTTATGACATGATGAGTTCTATGTAGACATTATGCATTTTGTCTTCCTGAAAAAGTATCTTAGAGACTCTTAAACTGGAAGGAAAAGCAATGCATGGCCTTTATGAACTTGGAATCAAAGAGGAGATCCTGAGTAAATTTATGAGGTTGCATATACATCCTGCAGATAACAGTTATGCACTAGATATTCGTCACTCTTCAATAATAGTAAGTAATTAAACAGCTATTTATTTAACTATTACATATTTGATAACGCTATGTATGACACAGTCTACCTTTTTTTGTAGTGTAATTGAAATACTAGACATAAGACCATATATTGATAAGCAGTTTAAAATGTTTTGCAGGGTGATACCTCTTCAATATATTTTATGAGTAATTTTCTCTAGCCTATACCTTACTAAAATTTTAAGATGTAGGATGTTTAAAAGAAGAGAGGAATGTATGTAAGAGTAGTTGCACACTCATAGCTATAGAATTTGACTTTACAGCAATTAATCTAGCTACACAGTATCTTCATATTATGCAAGACTGCTAAATGTACTTTACAGGTATGGTAAGTGAATTGTGGACAACGTAAATATTTTGTTTCTAGTTGTGCAGTGACTCTGCTTTTTTCCCTTCTTCAAAATTTATACAGTTTTCATTACAAAGGCTGTATGCCAGTGGAAAAGGCACTAAAATACTGATTTTCTTTGCCTGAAAGAACCATATTTCACTCTTCTGTTTGCCAAGTATAGACAGGCTTGCACAGAAAACAGTAGAACAAATTGGCCATATATTAATTAGTTTCTTTGATATATCGAAAGTGCTCCTGTGAGTTATAAATACCGTATTTGTCTTACAGGAATGTTATGCTGTGTTATACACATCTGTGTGATATGTTGTTACGACCTTTGTATTGTGAAAGTAGTTTCCACAGTGAAAAAATGTTTTTATTCACATCCTGATACAGAGTACAAAGTACAAATGATCTTTTTTCCGTTTCCATCCATTATTAGTTTTATTATGTACTGCAAATAAAAACCCCGAACAGTTTGACTGAAAAGAAAAAAAGAATTAATTTTAGATGCTATTTTCTGTTACTATTTCACAAAGAAGATAAAGCATTTTACTCTTTCCAGGCTTTCCATGTGTTTTAAAATATCTTTATTTATACATATTTTACTCAATGTTTAATATGTGTTTTTTACATGGTTGCCTTTTTTGTTTTAGTGGGTTAATAACATAGAACAAGATCACAGCTATAGCACATGGCCTGCAAGCTATCAGGAACTGCTAAAACCCACATTTCCCAGTGTTATCCAGCAGATTAGACGCAATTTATATAATTTGGTAAGTTTGGAGAACTTAATTTTTTTTGCATAGTTGTCGTGGTTTAGCACAATAGTGTATGTATTAATACGTGGACAGACAATTTACTGAAAAATACACAAGCTGTATTCATTGTTAAGGTAGGTTAGAATTTAATGTTTTTTATATGGGTCTGCTAATAGTAGTGAAAATCTTTTTGTCTAGTGAGTCATATGTGATTATTAGTCTGATTTCCAGAAGTGGACTTGGGCACAGTTTTGTCAGGAGCTTTTTCTGTTCCTTTCCATGCTACATACAAATAATTCACTATTATCAATGAATTTTCTTCGTAGTACACTACTGAGAGAAGGTAATGATAACTGTCCTAGTTTTAGAGATGATGAACTGAGATACAAAAAGGTTTAAGTTATAAAGCGTACTAATTATGAATGTCTTGTAGCCTAATTTTTCCTCTGTATATAGCATTCTGTATCACTTAGCTGTTTTCTTAACTTACTATTGCTGATTTTAATTGAAATTTAAATTACAAAAGGTAATTGTATGAATTATGTATGAATTGTATGAATTGAATGGTTTGGGTTGCAGGGGACCTTTAAAGGCCATCTAGTCCACCCTCCTGCAATGAGCAGGGACATCTCCAACTAGATCAGGTTACTCAAAGTCCTGTCCAACCTGACCTTGAACAATTCCAATGATGGGCCCCTGTGACACCTGTGGTGTCTCACCACCCTCATTTATTCATATCCAATCTAAATCTACCCTCTTTTAGTTTAAAACCGTTACCTCCTCTTGTTCTGTCCTTACAGTGTCACTACTGCTAAAAAGTCTGTCCCCATCTTTCCTATAGGTCCCCTTTAAGTACTGAAAGGCTCAGTCAGGTCTCCCTGCAGCCTTCTCTTCTCCAGGCTGAACAACCCCAACTCTCTCAGCCTGGCCTCATAGGAGAGGTTGCTCCAGCCCTCGGATCATTTTTGTGGCCCTCCTCTGGACCTGCTCCAATGGGTCCATGTCTTTCCTGTGCTGAGGGCCCCAGAGCTGGACGCAGTACTCCAGGTGAGGTCTCACCAGAGCAGAGCAGAAGGGCAGAATCACCTCCCTCGACCTGCTGGCCATGTTTCTTTTGATGCAGCCCAGGACACTGTTGGCTTTCTGGGCTGCAAGTGCACATTGCCGGCTCATGCCCAGCTTTTCATCCACCAGTACCCCCAAGTCCTCCTCTGCAGGGCTGCTCTCAATCCCTTCATCCCCCAGCCTGTATTGATACCGGGTGTTGCTCAGACCCAGGTGCAGGACCTTGCACTTGGCCTTGTTGAACCTCATGAGGTTCACATGGGCCCACTTCTCAAGCTTGTCCAGGTCCCATTGGATGGCATCCCATCCCTTGGGCATGTCAGCTGCACCACTCAGCTTGGTGTTGTCTGCAAACTTGCTGAGGGTGCACTTGATCCTCCTGTCTATATCATTGATGGAGATATTAAACAATACTGGTCCCAAAACAGACCCCTAAGGGACACCACTTGTCATCGATCTCCATTTGGACATTGAGCCATTGACCACTACCCTCCGGATGTGACCATCCAACCAATTCCTCATCCAGCAAATAGTCCACCCATCAAATCCATAGCTCTCCAATTTAGAAAGAATGATGTTGTGGGGGACCGTGTCAAAGGCCTTACAGAAGTTCAGATAGATGACATCAGTAGCTCTTCCCTTGTCCACTGATATAGTCACTCCAAGTGGCATGAAGTTCAGTATACAAAAAGCAACCAAAATACAAGCAATATGTGATAAATAAATGTATGTTTATGAAGCATAAGATGTATGTAATATGAAATAGATTACATTATGTATTCAAAGTTAAATATTGGCATAGATGTATATAACAGTTATATTATAGAAATCTACAACGTATCATTTAACTATAATCTGAGGGGGAGGGAGTGTTCAAAATTTTTTAAATTATTCTGCTGCATTTCAGCTACTCTAGCAAAATTACGATAAATTCTAAGGGGAGTTGCAGTGCAAAGCTGAATAAATAAGGTACCAATGTCATAATTAAATCTGCATAAGGATAATCTACCTGTGCCGACAGATCACAGTTTTAGATTCTGTGCATACCTGAAAGATCTGATTTTACACTTCAAGGTGAATACAAAGATATGTGTGACAGGAAGGAAGAACTCTTTC